GCTGTCACTTCAGCAAGGCGAGTTGGAGAAATACTGGCTTTCAGACATGACACGCCTTACTTGTCATGACATGGCATGCACCTCGTACCTGACATCTCGTTCCTGCCAAAAGTAGTGTCAGAATTCCACCTACAGGCGGAGGTCTTCCTCCCGGATTTCTTCCCGGCTCCGACATCCTCAGAGGACAGACTGTTACACACATTGGATGTGAAGCATGTGCTCCTGTTCTACCTGAACAGAACCCGCCCAACGAGACGTGACTCCCAACTGTTCGTCTCCTACACACCAGCAAGGCTGGGGACTCGCATCACGGCTCAGCGCCTCTCAAGGTGAATTGCGGGTCTGATCTGCCTCTGCTACCTGATCGCCAAACAGCCATTGCCTGGCCCTATCAGGGCCCATTCAACCCGAGCTGTTGCGGCTTCCACTGCCTTTCTCCAGGGAGTTCCCCTAACGGACATTTGCAGAGCCGCTACGTGGGCCACGCCTAACACCTTCATAAGGCACTATGCCCTAGACGTCCGTAAGAACTCTAATACCAACATGGGACGTCACATTCTATCTTCGGCTACACAGGAAGGACCTGCCAGCACCCTCTTCCAGGTAGACCACTGCTTGCTAATCTCCCATGGGTGTGAAGCACAGAGACCACGTCGAAGATAAACAGGTTGCTTACCTGTAACTGGTAATCTTCGAGTGGTCATCTGTGCATTCACACCACCCGCCCTCCTTCCCCGCTGCTGTCAGCTTCTACAATTTTCATAGGGGTTGATTTGCGGCAGTTTGAAGGAACTGGCGGGATGTCCGCGCCCACCCCTTTGGGCATGCGTGGTGGGTTTCCTGTGCATGCCTGAGGTCTGGGCGCGAAAATCTGTTAAAGAGCTTGGTACAATGCTGATCGATCCAGCGCATGCACACTAGATCCCCATGGATGTGAATGCACAGATGACCACTCGAAGATCACCAGTTACAGGTAAGCAACCTGTTTTTCTTATGCACATCATGCAAATGCGCTACTTGGTGTCACGGAAGGGTCTGTGGCTCAGTGGAAGACCTGGTGCTTTGTGTACAGAAGGTCCCTGGAGAGCTGCTGCCATTCTGAGTAGGCAGTAATGAGCCAAGGGTCTCGTTCAGTATGGAGCAGCTTCATGTGTGTCACTCTGCAGTTTAAATAACCATACAACAGGTGATATGGGAAACTTGACTTGAGTTGCCATTCTTATTTTAGACCAATTTGACCTTCGTCGGCTGTGTGGGCATGTTGGATCCCCCCAGAATTGAAGTGGCTTCATCCATAAAGCTGTGCAGGCAAGCTGGTATTCGCGTGATCATGATAACGGGGGACAACAAAGGGACTGCGGTGGCCATCTGCCGTCGCATTGGCATCTTTGGGGACGATGAAGATGTCACCACAAAAGCTTTCACCGGCCGTGAATTTGACGAACTCTCCCTAGCTGCCCAGAGAGACGCTTGCCTAAATGCCCGCTGTTTTGCCCGTGTGGAGCCTTCCCATAAGTCTAAAATTGTCGAGTTCCTGCAGTCTCTTGATGAGATCACAGCTATGGTAAGTGTGTTGGGGACTAGCTGCTTGAGTGAGGAACAATGTGTGCTAGTTTTGGGGGGCGGTGGGTGGTTGATATTTGTTCGAAGTTAAATCCGGGCAGGGATGAAGATACAGGAGACGCTGATTGCATGAATTACTGATGAGAGTATGTTTGGGGGTGGGGGTCTCAGTTTTTGGTTGCAAATTGTTCTTATGTTCTAGCCAGAAGTAAGCATGTCCATGAGCATGCATGCATAGAGTTCCTTCCCCAGCCAGTCTCATAACCATCATGCTGTGGTTCAAGCAGAGTTAACACTCAGGCATCAGCCTGGTCCACTGTGTCACCTTTCACACGTTGTGCTGCAGACTGGTGATGGAGTCAACGATGCCCCAGCCCTGAAGAAAGCAGAGATTGGGATTGCAATGGGGTCAGGCACCGCCGTGGCAAAGTCAGCTTCAGAAATGGTGCTGGCAGATGACAACTTCTCGACTATCGTAGCTGCTGTGGAAGAGGGCCGTGCAATCTACAATAACATGAAACAGTTCATTCGCTACCTCATCTCTTCAAATGTCGGGGAGGTTGTCTGGTAGGTGCTGCGAGCATCAGAACATAAGAAGAGCCCTGCTGGATCAGACCAGTGAGGGTCCATCTAGTCCAGCTCTCCTGGGGACTGAGCCAGTGAACTTGGCTGTGCTCAGTGGAATACTGTGTGTAGGAGGCTGAAGGGGGAATGCCACGCCAGAGCTCATCCTTTTGATTTGTGTTCTTGGTATGATTTCTTGGTTTATCCCAAAGCCTGGAAGCTTTCAAGCACGGATATTTACCCTTCACAGTTATTTTGCTGTTTGGGGTGTTAAGGGTGAGGGAGGTCACTGGTGCGTGTAGCTTTCCGCCCTGCCATGCGCAGGACTGAAGCTCTTTCCTATAAGCAACCTCCATCTTGGTCACGAGATGTTAGTGCCAAAAGCTGGAGGGCAGCTGCTGATTTGGCTCGAAAGAACTCTGACCTGTAACATCACGGGTTGTGTCAAACGGGGGTAGATGGACACATGGAAAACCTGGACCCTACCCTCTTGTCTGTGACAAGGAGTCTTGGGCAGTGTTCCCTCTAAGCTGAGTTAGTGTGAGCTAGCTCACAGTTTTTTAGCCTCCGGCTCACACATTTTTGTCTCAGCTCAGGAAGGATATGGCTCCAGAACACACTAATTTATGCAGTAGCCAAATCACCTGCTCACAACTTTAATGCCGGTAGCTCACAAAGTAGAATTTTTGCTCACAGGACTCTACAGCTTAGAGGGAACATTGGTCTTGGGCGCAGTTGTGTTAAAAGTATTCAGTAACAGGACAGGAGATAATCCTGTGTGCTTGTTTTTGTTTTTTGGCAGTATCTTCCTGACTGCTGCTCTGGGTTTCCCTGAAGCTTTAATCCCCGTCCAGCTGTTGTGGGTAAACCTTGTGACGGATGGCCTCCCTGCCACTGCCCTGGGATTCAACCCCCCTGATCTGGACATCATGGACAAACCTCCTCGCAATCCTAAAGAGCCCCTGATCTCTGGCTGGCTCTTTTTCCGTTATTTGGCCATAGGATGTGAGTATTCACCTCTGGCTTTTGGCTCTGTGGGAGCTTAGGTAGGACAGAGCCGCTACTGTTCTTTCTCTCCTTGGCTTTAAAAGCATCATAGAACGGGGGGGGGGGGGGGGGGGGGCTGATGACATGGGACAGTTGGCGTTGGAATTTCCTTGCATGCTAGAAGTTGCCTGAACGCTGCATTCTTGTTGTGTGTGACTGCTGCATCCTTTTCTCGTAGTCTCTTGACATTTTGGTACTTGCTAATGTAGCCAGTAGTGGGGACCACTTCTCCCATGGTTTTGCAGCCAGTTTGGTGTAGTAGTTAAGAGCAGCGGACTCTAATTTGGAGAGCCGGGTTGATTCCGCACTCCTCCAGATGCAGCCACCTGGGTGACCTTGGGTCAGTCACAGTTCTCTCAGAGCTGTTCTCTCAAGGATAGTTCTCGAGAGAGCTCTCTCTCAGCCCCTCGTACCTCACAGAGTCTCTGTTGTGGGGACTGGAAGGGAAGGAGACTGTAAGCCACTCTGAGACTCCGAGTGAAGGGCGGGGTGTAAATCCAATCTCCTCTTCTTAAATTGAGTCTTCTAACCCTTTTTCTTGCCAGCCAGCAGTGCCTTGGGCATCTGACCCACTAAGAATGGCTGTGGCTAAAGGAAGCAGCACGTTTCCTGTTAATTTGGATGAGAGTTACGGATTTGGGGAGGGTGTGTGTAGAGAATTTGCCATATAAAAAGCTCAGCTACGGCAGCAGCTGAGGCTTTTTAAAAAAATGAGATGTGATCTTGGGAAGTGTCAGTTGCAGTGAATTGAGGGATCGAGATCTAAGTGTGGATCCTTAATTACAGGAAAAGAGCAAAGGTTACAAGTAAACTATTGTATGAAGGGGAGAGTTCAGGTGAGGTCAGCTAGTAGCACAGATGCTCCATTATTTCGCCTGCTAAGACGTGTGTTCTTTCTCTCTCTCGAAGGCTATGTTGGAGCTGCTACCGTGGGGGCTGCCGCTTGGTGGTTTATTGCTGCTGATGGTGGCCCAAGAATCACCTTCTACCAGCTGGTAATATTTCCTCTTCAATATTTCAAAAACACAAGCATTGTTAGAGTTCCAGAGCAAAGCTTACATTCTCAGAGAACAGCCAACTTAGCTTTAGTGTTAAAGTGAAATACAGAGAATCTCAAAATGGCTTTTTAAGAGACCACTATATTTTTTTTAACCTATGGCAAGATATAGTATATACAACTAATCTGATTTTTTTACCAGTTAAATTGCATGAGCTGTATTTTTATGTAGATTATTTTGATCAACAAGACAGGAGTATAGTTAGACTAACTTGTCTATTGCGTCTTCCAGAGCCATTTCCTGCAGTGCAAAGATGAAAACCCAGATTTTGAAGGTGTCGACTGTGTTGTCTTTGAGTCTCCGTATCCTATGACGATGGCTCTCTCTGTCTTGGTCACCATTGAGATGTGCAATGCCCTCAACAGGTGAGCGTGTTGAAATGGAGAGCAAAAGGATTTCTTTCCCTTCCCTTGGCTCTTCCTTGGCCGTTTTCAGACTCTGCACCATTGGTGCAGCAGCATGAGTTTTTAAATGCAGAAAATCCTGCAGTTAAAATTGTCTCATGCCAAGATGTATTTTATGGAATTCAGAGATGGCTCTAAAGGACTTTTAGTTGGAGGAGAGGTCTGGAATTGGCTGAACTCTGGGATGGGTGGAACTGGTGTGCCTCTTAATTGCCAGTGGCAAGAAAGGAAGAAAGGTCACTGTCAAAGATGTAGTGCAAAGTTAGGTCGACCTCCAGCCTTACTCAGCATGGAAACTGTTTTGGCTGGGGAGAAGGACTGAATATGGCACACCCACACTCATGCCCACCTTGGGACCTCTGCAGCTGCCAAACAGAACCCGGGCCAAGTTTCTGCTGGCAACTGGGCAAGGAGAAACTCCGCCCCTGGAGACAATGAAAATGCAGCGCCTCAGAATTATGCTTGGCAGCATTGATTTCAGGAGTGCTGTGGGCAACTGTGGCCTTGTCATTGGCCCACTGAAGAAAGGAAGGAAGCCGCAGGGCTTCTAGAGGACTAGTGGAGAAGGAACCAGTAATCATTCACACACCCGTGTGTCATCTCCATCCATTGCAGCTGAGTCACGTGATTTTAATTGTGAATTGTTTTTAATTTGGGGGGTGGGGTTGTAAAGGGCTTTGGGAGTCCCCAGTTCAAATTGTAGCTTAGCGATGAGTTCATTCAGGTAGCCTAAACAAACTGCCTTTCACAGCCTGTGTCCCTACTGCACTAAATGGACGACAATACCGATCTACCTTGCTGGATCATTTTAACACGCACTATGTACATGGACGTTTGAGGGGTATTAGGTGTACTGTAGGCCTGGTGTTGGTTGCCTGTCGAGGAACAGAGCAGCATGGAACACTTGAAGCCTCACGTCTGCACCGTTTCCCTTCCAGCCTGTCAGAGAACCAGTCCTTGCTGCGCATGCCTCCGTGGGAGAACGTCTGGCTGCTGGGTTCCATCTGCTTGTCCATGTCTCTTCATTTCCTCATCCTCTATGTGGAGCCACTGCCAGTAAGTTTGCAAAGACACGTCTTGGGGGAGAATCTCAAGCCAAAGCACGTCTTCCCATTCACCTCCGGGATATCTATCTTTGCCTCCTAGCGCTGTTAAAAGGGCTTTTATAATTCCTTTTTCTCTTCTGTTCCCCAGCTGATATTCCAAATCACACCCCTGAATCTGACCCAGTGGCTGATGGTGCTGAAAATCTCGCTGCCCGTCATTCTGCTGGATGAGACACTTAAATTTGTGGCGCGTAACTACTTAGAGCCTGGTAAACATAGTATGCTGCCTGCCACCAAACCACGACCTCTGTCCGCATGCACTGAAGGGATTTCCTGGCCGTTTGTGTTCATTACCTTGCCCTTGGTTATCTGGCTGTACAGCACAGACACTAACTTTAGTGACATGTTCATGTCTTGACCTGAAGTGATAACCGTTTGACAGAAAGATGTTTAACTTAAATCAATTTTTTTATTGTTTAAAGCAATTTGTCTTATTCTGCTGAATTTTCACATGAACATATTTGCTGGTGACTGAGGTTTCATATTCCTAGATTTTTGGGTTTTCTTATTTTTTTCCCCCCTGACTCCAGTAGGGGAGCAGTATCCCCCCCCCTCTTTTATACACAACTAGGGTGTCCATTGACATGTACAGAGAAATTAACACTATTTTATGCAAATATTTTTTGTAGAGGAGAAGCATGTACAGTGTTCTGTTTAATAGTTAACCCATCCTTGTAAAAACAAAAGAATAGCGTTTTGCGGGGCTGGGGGGGGTGCCAGTGGACACTATCTAGCAAACTTCAATTGGTAGCAGATTTTAGGGAATGAATGTTTTTTGGTGTGTTTCTTTTTTTCCCCTCTCAAAACTAAAAGCATGCAGTTGTGTGTGCATTCTGCATGGTCATCTAATCTTAATTTGTCATTCAGTTGGGCTTTTTCTGCACTGGGCAGAGTATACTGCTACCTCAGTATTTCCCCCCCACACCCTCCGCCCTTTCCGTTCTTCTCCCCATCTTTCTTCTCCTTCCTCTTTCGATATTTTAGGTTCTAACTTAATTTTGTTTACACCCGCCTTAATGAGAGGTATGTCTATTCTCGCTAGTGCAGAAGAGAACCATTCCAGGTGGTGTTGTATGGTGGTGTTCCCCCCCATCTCCCCTTAACACAAGTAGGGATTTTTTTTTAAAGATTATTTATTTAAATGTCTTATTTTTATTGTAACAGCATTGTTTCACCAGCATTGCCTGTTCTGGGAGGGTGGGGGAGACGGCTGCCTGGATGGGACATCAAGCAAGGAGTGGAAAAAATAATAATAATAAAAAACATCTTTTTATTGAGAGATTTCTATGGCTGTCTTTTCATTAAGCCCCAGGAACCTGAGTTCCTTTTTAATTATCTATAATTTTTTTGCACGTGTCAAACTTTTTTTTCTTTCTTTCTTTTTTTTTTTTGTTTGGTTTTAAAATCTGAGCATTTGGTAATGGGACCTGGAAGCAAACAACTCAGAATGTACACAGCCGGAGTTCTCGCTGGGTTTGGTTTTTTTGTTAAACCTCTAACTGTCAGTGACACATTTTGGCGTATAGTCCGCTGGCCACGTTCTTCTAGCCTGATGTGGAAAAAGTAACCAAGTTTCTGTGTGTATGTATGTGCGTGCGTGTGTGTGTTTTGTAAAATCTGTAAATACCACATGACCAAATGAACATATTGTATAGAACTATTTTTTATTTTTAATGTGGCACTAACCACCGTCATTCTATTAAGATAAATGTTAGCGCATGATGTCGTGTTTTGCCCCTCCAAACTGAGTCCTGTACCAACAATGTGTAAGTTCATTAACAGTCCTAACTGTGTGGTGTTTCTCTCCAATGCCTTCCAACATTCATCGACTGAAGTGAGTATTTCTTTTCCATTTCACCATTCCAGTGGTGATGTGCTGTTTTAAAAAAGAAAAAAGCATATGCTGTATACATGTCAAAGAATAAATGCTGATTTTTTCCTCCATCCCATGCTGCGTTTTGTCAGACTTTCTGCTGTGCTACATTATTATCACCACTCTTCACACTCTTACATCCGGTAGCAGAAGGCCCCGATGACTTAAAGCACAAGGGCATTTGTGCCTGCAATTTCTATCCGCTTAGTCTTTAGAACTGACCCAGTGGGAGCTGTGCCCCAAGAGGCTCAGAAAATTGCAGCTTTTGTTCTGAAATTGCACTCATTTCTCCATTAGCAACTGTCAACATCTCTAAAAAGGCTTTGTGGCATGAGCTTTTTCCAGAGCCTTGAGTCATAGGTGTCCGCCCCCACCCCCACCCCCCGGCAGAAAAGAAAAGAAATGGAGGTTGGAGGTATCTGGATCCCCAGTCCCAAGTTGCTTATCATGAAATGTAGCTTTGGTGGTGTTGGAGAGCTTCCCATTTTGTTCAAAGGTGTGCCAGCTGTAACAGGTCATGGCTCTTGCCGTTAGATTTCTAGGCAGTGTGCTCTTTAACAGGACAGTTCCTTGATTGTTCCTACCGGGCAGAGACTCTAATGTGCTGCAGAGAATCAGTAGGGTGACCCGTAGCCTGGCTTCATGCAGAAAGCCCATGGGGGCTGTGTTTTGGCAAACAATGACATGTGCTGGCTTCACTTGCTACGTCACTTGTTTAGAAGGAGGATCGATTAAGGTTGGCAAGAGCCAGAACCCTGAACACTTGATGGATTTCTGATTGTGGCATTTCAGAAGCTCCGCGATAGAGTTAAAGCCTTTTTGGGGATGGGAGCCAACACCGAGGCAGACATTCCAAACGACATCTTGAGCTTTGATGGGTTTCCTTGCCGTCTGCTGGTGGCCAGTCTTTTGGCCCAGTTGCCACGAGTCAAGCCCAAAAGCTTTAATCTGTTCTTCAGTCCCAGCTCCTTGACTTGTTGTGCCTTTCCCTCTGGGCTGTTGACCTGGGGAGCAGGTGCTAGCCCAGTGCCAGGAGAGGGTAGGTAGAAAGGCAGGTCCGACTCGTATGGTATAGCCAGGTCCGTGGGCCTCCTTGCATCATACAAAGCCTCTGTGTACCCAACCCATTGGTTAGCCACCCACAGTCCACCAGCTGTCATGACTTCACACAGCAGTCCTTCCTCTGAGGAATTAGGCCTGCTTCGGATGTAGGAGAGTCACATGGTAGAACAAAACATTCAGTGCTGGACTCCTTCACCCATAGTCTGCCAGGATGTAGTCCATTTTTTCCACCTTATTTGCCTTAAGTGTCCAGTTTGCCCAGTCTCTTCAACTTTTCTGCATTATGACCTTTGCTATGGAAACCCATTTTAATAAGCGAGGGTGACAGAAAAGCATAGGTGGAAGACTAGATGACTCGCACTAGATGAAAGACCAGCTTGGTGGTCATGGGAGGAGTGTTATCTGGCTGGGTATGTAAACAGCTGCCCTTCCAAACTTGGGGGCTTGGCCCACTGTGTGCTTTCTCTCACACACATTTTGGCTTTGCTTTCATGAATCTAGATTTCTCCAAAGTTCAGAATTTCTCTTCTGATGTATGCCAGTTACAGGATATAGGGAGTCAGGGTTAATTCTCTACCCCTCTCCCGTGCACGTTACTAGTAGGTATGCCTTGCTGGTCTGGATCCCATGTCATACTAGTGGGCTGCGTTGGACATGGATTAATGGGCATTAGTTTGTTCCCCTCATTTCAAACAAAAGTGAACTTCTGGCAGTGTTAAGGTATCTTGCTGTTCGTACCCCCCATCCCAAATAAAAGAGCCTTGCAGAAATGCCTATTGGGGAAAACTAGGCAGTGAGTTTAGGTACAAAGGCATAGAAAACCCTGTATGTCTGTCTCTACAGCATGACTGCATGCAGAGACAAGCATAACCAAATCTAGGTATAAAGGTCTGCATGGGTTGGTGGCCCATCCTTCACAAGAGTGGTGGCAGCTTGCAGTGTAGACAGACAGGGTATGGAAATGGCTCTCCATTTGCCTATCCGGGTTAAGGGACTTTTTTGGTGGGTGTACAGATTCTTTCAACAAATAGGGCTGTTTCTGTTGGGAGAGTCTTAAAACGTTTTGGCGTGTACAGTCTGGCTTCTGCCTTGCAACCTTTTCCAGTTCGGCCTTTCACATTTCTGGCTGTGATACATCAAGGAAGTCTGTATAGCACAGGCCGAGCCACAGCTGAGAAGTTAGGCCGTGCTGCGTAAGGTCAGTTCCTACTTTTGCCCATCAAAATGGAACTCCAGCTACAAGGTTCAGGAAGACCGTTGCTTGAGACCTTTGTGAGCCTCTGCTCGTTGGCAGATAACGCTGGGTTAGATAGCCAGTGGTCTAACGAGGGACAAAGGAAGTTCATATGCCTATTTTTCTGAAGCATTTCTACCTGTTGGCGTAGAACACGCGTAGATAGCTGGGTCAATGGTCTTACTAAAGCGTAAAGCAGTTAACGTGTTGATACGAGCAATTTTCAAGCCCCCCCCCCTTAAAGCATAAATATATTCAACGTTCACAGGACTGAGATAGGATTCCCAGAATATTTTCTTATAAATTGATGTTTACTCTTTGTCTTAAGGTGGGTTTTTTTAATTCTTGTGTAAAACTCCTAAAAGATTGAGTGGTGCTTTTCAAAAGAGTCAGTATCCATTGGGCAGGGGGCCTTAACCCGTGGTGATAAAATGCAGTACAGCAGTCCCGGAGTGTCTCCCGTAGACACAGCTCATTAGATAGTTGGATGAACAAAGGGAGAAAAAGCAGGGGCGATTACAGGATGGTCGAGGCATAGGTAAAACAACCCAAATTGTCTGTCCTTGCACCTGTCTTGTTGATTTCTTGCACTGCTTAATCATTGTTTCCCTAATCTCTGCTAATTGTGTTTTTTAAAAATTAACAGTCAGGACCAAGATTACCTGCATACTTCTTAACAGACTCTGTGGGGCTGGGGGAGCCAGAAATATTCTACAAAAGGCAGCTAAAAAAAAAAAATTCATAATGCCGGGCTTGCAGCCTGAATTAGTTGAGACCTTTCCTCTGATCCTCTGCTGGCATTTCTGGTGGAAAAAGCTTGTCCAAGATAATTCCTTGGGGGCCATCAGCCCATGGCCCTTGTGTTTATATATAGCTTTTATTTTATTTTTTAATGGGATTTGGGTACTGTATTTGGAGAAGGAGGGAAAAGCAAGATCCTGTAACATATACTGTTATGCCCACAATACTTTTAGCAATTTCCCAGGTGCTTCTAATTGCTTACACATCCTTTAAATGGACTTTGGCCCCTGGAAAAATCCAGATAAAATTACTAGAATCTGACACACAAAAAAGATATTGAATAATCAAGCAATGCAGAACACCGTTGCCAAGGAAAAGCTGACAGATCTGGCCAGTTTCCTTGTTCGTCTGCACGGGAAATGTGTAGAGGTGGGTTGATGAAGCCAGTTTTTCTCCCCCAAACTTGACAGCTTTTGCAGTAACAAAGTGAAAGGAATTCTTAGGCTGTCCAAAGGTTCCAAAGACACCTTTAAGATCGTTACAGGCTTCTGGTAGGCTTGGCCAAAAGCACGCCTGGCTGTTAGGGTTGATCTATACAAGCAAGTACATCACTTGATGACGCTCGGTTAAATGCGGTTAAAATGAATAGTGCCACATACCGAACAGATACTTGATGAATTTAGGATTCTGTCCGGTCAACAAGTGATCTAGGTGAATGTGCGTACAACCTTCAGTTGGTTCCCATGGCAATAGCAAAAAAAAAAAATCCACTTTGAGTTCTGGAGGGGAGGAGCCAAGACCCTGGAAAGGAGTGATCCAAAGGAACCTGCTGCATCCACGGCAGTACCTTTTAAGGGAATGCCTGATCTGCCGGACTCTTTTTTCATTCCTTCCTTATGCAACAGCTACCAAATCAAGATATTTGGCATTTGGTTGGTCTCCAATAATCAGATCCTCTGACAGAAGCTCCCCAAGCTGGGGGGGGGGGGGGGGGGGAGTAGAAGATAACATTGCTCGGACGAACGCTCTCTCAGCTTTTAACTGATTCATGACTTTTCTATTAACTTTCACTCTCCCATGGGGAAAATGGGAGGCCGGAAGTCAAACTTTTCATATTTTCCGCTATCTCTGTTGAGGCTTTTGGTTTGTTTTTTTTTAAGTCTTGCTTTTAAGTCCTTTTGATCCATCTTTCCGACTAACGTTACCTTTCTCTCTCTTTCTCTCTCTCCTTTTTTTTTTCCTTTGCAGCAAAACTGGAGTAATCCTTAGCCCTAAGCAAATTTTTACAGAAACGTAAGATTAATTTTTTTGTTGTGTGCATGCGTCTTTAGCTACGCATCTACCGAAAACATCTGCATGAGTCTTGTAAATGAAAACAGAAACAAAATTCCCTAGGGAGGGAGGAAAAAATAGAACTGAAAACCCATGTTCTGTGAAGGAAGTGTGTGGTGCTCTTGAAGCTTCAATTCATATACAGATCTACAAATGTGCAATATAGTTTTAAACTGATTAAAACAGACCTCTCTGCGAGGAAGTTTTTGGGGTTCTTTGCTGCATGAAGACAACAATCTCCCTAAAGCAAGAATTAAAAAGAGTGGTGATCGGCCAAGTGTTATTCTCCTTTTTTCATATTTCGTTGTGTAAAATGTCATAGTTGTACAATATTGGACTGTAATGCATGCTTTTCAGTTGTAAGTAGCCAATAATCTCTATTGTATCTTAACAGGCCACTTTAAACAGCTCTGTACAATATGCAGTTCTATTTATACAGGTTCATTGACAACGGTACTGTTGTTGAATGTTTGAGAAATTGTTAAAACAAACTTCAGTTCCATAACTTCAGCTTTTTAAAAAAAATATCTTGGAGTGTGCAAATAGACTTATTTTGCACTGTAATAATGTAACTTATTTAAATCTAAAGCAGTAGACACACGTCGGTGCAATACACATGTTGTGATGGCGTTTTATCTTAACAGCAGCAGAAGCCTAATAATGAACTTAAGTTCATAAAGCAGCATGTGTGACCTTTTTTTTTAGAAGTTGTAAATAACATTGG